AACACAGGTACAACCTAAACTGTGCTCTGCTGTTATGCATGGTGTTAGTCCAGGAGCAATGCAGCTGCTTTTCTGTGAACAAGGAGGAGCAGGATGTTTCAACAATGGTTTAGACAAAAATCAAATCTACTAAATTTTCTCAAAATGTAGTTTATCAGCCAGAAATTGAATCTCCTTATTTACTTTTACACTGGAACTACATAGCTAATGCAGGTAACTAGGAATGTAAGCTTAAAGCCATCAGATTAGTGTGTCCAACCTTTACTTTTATTACAGCTTTAAGAGACTTGCTTTCTGTTTTCCAAAGAAACCTGCTAGGATATTTTTCCACACCTTCAAATTTTAGTCCTAGACGTTGCTGCATTTTCTTCTTCTCAAGCTCTGAGTAATCTCAAACACATTCAGTCCTGTTAAGGTCTGGATTCTGGGGGTGGTCAGTCCATTGTTTTGAGAACACCAGCAGCTTCTTTGTTTGATTTGCAGATTTTCTTCTTTTATGTCAATTTCCTCTTCTCAGTCACGGCTTTTTGACAGAAACACATGTTTCAGACCCACAGCTTGATTTTTTTTTTCCTGCTTTTTGTTCATTTTGATAGATAACAGTACATCATACTGTATGGATTACCCCTAGGCCCCTTAAATCATAAGTAAAACCGAATGTAGTGGATTTGCTAGGCCAAAAAAACTCTTCAGATACAAATCAAATAGGAACAGCAGTGATAACATGATGTGCAAAAAGAGAAAAAAAGTTTCTCTGAAATACATAACAGTGAAACACGTGAGCCATAGGACTGATAAGGACACTCTTACTCACACGCACTGTAGAGAGAGTGTGTCAGCTTTAGAGAGGAGCTACTGCAGTCAGTGGGATGTGTGATGGCACCTTATGGGCAGCTTTCAGAAATAGCATACTCACCACCACACATGCGCACGCAGACACACTCAGTCATACACACTGCCCAGGCAAACATGTGGCTGTGCTAAGAATAAGATTTTAAAGAGTTATATGTATGTATGATCTAGTACAGCGTCGTGTCCTTATCTACTTCCGAACAACATGTCCCAGAATAGATGTGACGATGCTGAAGCGGGGGCGAGGGGTTACCCATGTGCTCTGCCCACAACAGCAAGACACTCAGAGAGACCTTTGAACCAAGAGGCCTTTTTTAGGTTGTTTAGCAGCAGAGAAAAGTTAGCAAGGGAATAAAAGACATTTTTTTTTCCAGCAGGATTTGGTTATGTTAATATTTAAAGTCAATTTGAAACCATAATGCATTTTTCTTCTGTACAGTGATGGTTTTCGATGTAAAACACAGTATCATGGAGGATCTCTGGGCAAGTCGAGCATTATGCTTAGTAATAGTAAGGGTGGGGAGGGGGATGCACTTAAACATTATTGAAACTCAGACGTTTTTTTATGATGGACAGAGGTCGTTACATTTTGATGGAAGATTACAGAAAAACAAGTATTTTGGTTTTTTAATGATATTTGATTTGATAAATGCCTTCCGCCCGATGAAGCCTGGGATAGGCCCAACACACTTCGCAACCCAAAAGGATAAGCGGCTTAGAAGATGGATGAATGGATAAATCAGGCTTAATATGACCAGTGATATGAACTAACAAGGTAAAAAAAGGTCCATTTTGATTTCACTTGGCTTCAGTGTTACATCACATATTGTTTAAAATGATCCCCAGCAATAGTGCCATATTCACCTCAAGCCAGAGATGACATTCAACTTGCGATAACACTTTTAAGCTATGATAAGGCATGGTTTCCACATTTTACAATCTATGAAGTCTATTCCTACTATCAGATTTTACAGAATACTCCAGGCTTGCAACACTTGCTCAGCTTTGGGTCATTTACCTTTCTTGAAATTTGAGAATACTGCACAATCTAGAATTTTTATCCTCAAAATGCATCATATTACCCCAATCACTGAATGTGCTACACTGAGAATCATTTTAGACAAGGATTATGCTGTAAAACTTTAGGGAACTGGCATTGATATTTACTGGAAGGAGAGGAATCTAAAAAAGACTAAGTTTATCTTTGAATTTGATTAAAGACCATGTTTTTCGTAATTTATAGCCCCTAAAGCCCTAGGGAACCTAAGTCCATCTTTTCTTTCTGAGCAGTTTAATATTGATCTTGTGGCTACACAATATACACATGCAAAGAATGTCCTTTGAATTACTTTCCAAAGTTCATTAAACGGCTGTTTTTCCACCAACATTAACTGCTTTCAGTGTAAACTGGGGTAGTAATCTTGATTACAGCTTTCATGAGTAGTTTCCTCACCAATCACGAGGCTGATGAGGCTTGTCCCACTTTAACTGGACTGTGTTGTGCGGTTTTGGCCTTTCTGTCGGAGAAACTGACTGAGAAAAAGCTAATGACAAGCAAAAACTACCCTAGCAAACTTAACTGAGCTATCAAGGTACACTCTTAAAACAGATGCCTCTTCAAAGGTTCTTTAGTAAAGACAATGGTTCTATATAGAACCATGAACACTCAAAAAACCATTTGCATGCTTACAGGGTTTTTGCATCATGAAAGTTCTTCAGATTGATGGAGAGTGTGCTGCAAATGGTTCTATATAACACCAAAAAGGGTTCTTCTTTTGTTATGATGTCAAGCTTGTAATACTAGCAGAACCCTTTTTGGTGCTATATAGAACCATTTTAAAAAGGTTCCATGTAGGACCATCTACAGCACACTCTCCATTAAAGAACACTTTAATCATGCAAAAGTTGTGTGTTTGTGGTTCTGTATAGAACCATTTTCTTTACTAAAGAATCCTTAAAGAACCATCATTTTTATGAGTGTATATGGTTCTATAAAGCACCAAAAAGGCCTCTGCCATTGTTATGATGTCAAACTTGTATACAATAGAAGAACACTTCTTAGTTCTATATAGAACCAAGGGTGCGATCAGACAGCTAGATCGACAGACGAATGAATAAACCAGCCAACAAACATTCAGAAAGACGAACCGACAGACAGACAAATAAACAGACAACAGGAAGAGAGAGATGAGTGACGCTCTTAAAAAAGATGCTTCTTCAGCCGTTCTTTTTGTGGATGCACATCCAACAGTAAAGTGAATAAGAACTTTACATTCTTTAAGATGTTGCCACATAAAAGATGTTTAATCTTTTACTGAGCCATTAACACAGTGGAGTCTACAACACTCGCATATACACTTGCTTTTACTTACATAGTACCTGTTTTACTTTTTTTTCCCACTTGCGCTGTTATTTTTACTTCTTCTGCAGTGACGTAGCAGACTGGGAGTCTTGTACTGGGAGATGTCAGTCTCACATGCTCATTAGAATATTAGGCCATGCCCAGATAAAGCTGATCAGTGTTTTTAAGCCATGTTTTATTATGTTTCTATCTTCTTTTATTATATTTCTGTCCAACTTTGAATGATGTTGAATATAACAGTATAATGCAAACTTTTTTTTAATAGTTTACACTTGTCCCTGGAACTGTAGGCATAAGTGAGGCAACTTGGGTCTATACTTCTCCATACCTTGGAGCCTCAAACTCATTTAACAGAAGAAATGCATCTTGAACGCTCTTCAATCTATTAATTCAGCTTTATGACTCGCCTTTATTTATGCAGTAACATCAACATAACGACATTCTGCAGTGAAGCATTAATCTACATGACACTGCAGAATGCCGGTAGATGCTGACCAAGGCCCACACACTGCAGGTTTCAGGAGCTGAAACCTTCTAAAACCTTATAAAATTTGGAAGTTGATGTCTCCTGTTGTGAAATTTGTCACATTAGCAGTCATGCACGCACAGGTCGTGACCTAGCCGTTGTCCTCATAGCGCCTGGAATCCAAAATGTCTGGAGTCTCTGCACATCTGGAAAAGCATCACAATCTGGTTTGTTCGTTCTCCTCTAAAGAAAAGTGGCTAACACTCTCCTTGAACCCTGCTACATAGCATTGACATAACAGTGCTATAAACACATGAATTGTCATGAATTGTCCAGTACTAAAACAGTGTCATGTTAGTGTTTCTTGTAATTGTCATGACAGATGCCATGATGCTTGCCGTCATGACATCTTAAGTCTGTTATGTGATACCATGACATATTATGTTATATTACCGAGCAACATCTGTTACGAAAACTTATGCCAGCATATGACATGTTTATGGCATGATTATGTCAATGTTATGCAGTGGGTTCAGGTAAAGTGTGAACAATGGTTGCTTTACTTGTTTCATTTGTCTTGTATGTGACTTTCTCTGATGGACAGGAAAGAATGAATGCAGCATTTCACAGAGGATGTACACTGTTACCACAAGAGGGAGTAATGCAGTGCCTCCTATTGAGCGTGGAGCTGTGGTCGGCATGTGGTCTCAGGTATCATCTTCATGTTCTACTATGGAGGCATCATGTCTAATAGAAGTATCTGTGATAAATGATGGCTAACCATCTGGCTTTATCTATGTAGCGAGTTAATCAGCGCTGCTGCTTTACGTCTTTCTTCAGTCATCATAAGTAATGGGCTGGAAGTCCGGCTATTTTTAGCAAAGTCCAACAGGTGACATAACATATGTTTGCGTCACTCCTCGGAGCAGTCAGACTCTCAGTTTAATGATTAAATGTTAAATATGTAGCAAACTGGTGGTTTGAGCCATGTGGCCTATGATAACATCATGCTGAGTAGTTAATTCGGTGCAGAGAACACCCCCATTGGTAGAGGAAATGCCCAAGCTGTGCTTCTTTCTAGGAAGTGCGTGAGAGAAAGAAAGAGAGAGAGAGAGATAAAGAGAAGGAGAGACAGACAGAGCATGAATGAGTCTGTATGTGTTTGCACATGTGTATGTTGTGCACACAGCCATGTCAGTCCTTCACCTCCCCCTATCGCAGCGTCCCGACACATAGTTAAAACACCGTGCGGAACAGCAGCAGATGGATCGATGCCTGGAGAGAGAGAGAGAGAGAGAGAGAGAGAGAGAGAGAGAGAGAGAGAGAGAGATGTACCGATGGGAGGAAAGTGAGACAGAGAGAACGCACGCGTGAGTGTTAGGAACTCTTTGCCAGGGAAGGAAAAAAAACTGTTACACATATTACTGGGGGAGTTGCTGAGGAGAGAAAGAGAGAGAGAGAGAAGAAAAAAAGGAAAGTAGAAGTTAGTGACTCAGAAGTAGTGAGGAAGATAGTAATAAACTGAGAGGGAGGAAAGCAGGGGGAGGAAGGTATAATTACAGAGAGAGAGAAAGCGAGAGGGTACACACAGTGAAGACAGAGAGAGAGAGAGAGAGAGAGAGAAAGAGGGAGAGAGAAAGAGTCAGAGAACTGTCTAACCCTGCCCACTTTCCACAAAACCATTCAACTCCGGCACAGTGAGCTGCACTCTGTCAGCTTTCTCCACAGCTCCGCACCTCTGCTGTCCGAAGCTCGGCAGGACCACAACCGGAACCAGGACCGTCAGGACCGTCAGGACCACGGCCAGCGCCACAAGCAGGACCCAGGACCAGGACCCAGGACTAAAGCCAGAGCAGAACCAGCTCCAACACAGCCGGACCCGAACCTCCGGAGCAGAATCTATTCACTGTCCGGGACGCTCCTGTCCAGGACCGCCTGTCGACTGACCCCTTCTTCTTGTCGCCATGGCCGCTTCTCTCAGATAAGGATTATTTTAGCCTTCACGCCTCTTATTTCCCGCCTGCTCAGTTCTTGAACAGGCTGGACGGCCGCTTGTCCACTGCTGCTGCTGGCAGCCGAGCCGGCCGAGCAAGCTCCGGGACGTGTCAGTCGTGAGATTGTTCTCCTCTTTTTGTCCCGTGCCCAGGATGTCCTCCTCCTCCTCCTCCTCCTCCTCCTCCTCCCTCGCCCTGACACTGACCCTGCTGCTCCTGCTGTCCGGCTGCTTAACCAGCCGCTGCTCCCCAACGCCTGCGGGACCAGAGAGCCAGACCCAGCAGCAGCAGCAGCAGGAGCCTCAGCCTGGGTCCCAGGACACAGAACAGAGGGACAGCCCAGCTACCCCATGCCCGTCCTGTGCTCTTGCCCAGTTACAGCAAGACCCAGTGGCCTCAGAGCCCGGCATGGTGGAGGCGGTGAAGAGGCACATTCTCAACATGCTGCACCTGAGCGCGCGGCCCAACATTAGCCACCCGGTGCCCCGTGCCGCCCTGCTCAACGCCCTGCGCAAGCTGCACATGGGTCGCGTGGCCCGGGACGGCACGGTGGAGATTGAAGAGGAGGGAGAGGAGACCGGAGAGCATGAGGATGAGCAGCCCTCCGAAATCATCACCTTTGCAGAGCCAGGTGAGTCCCAGAGTGAATTTGGGTTTTGGTATGTTTGGCAACATACTGAGTTGATATTAATGATGGAAGATACTTACATGAAAAAAGATGCTTAGATTAGAAAAGCATATATTATATTAGTACAACTGTTGCTCGTACTGGCATAGCTTTTTCATTCAAAGTTAATTTAAAACAGTGATTCATTTTAGTGTTTTCCTTGCTTGAACATACACATTTCAATTCAGGAAGAGTTTGTTAATTAACCAGTTAGTTGGATCAGGTGTATTAGAGCAGGAGAAACATGAAATATGCAGAACAGGGTTCTCCAGGACCCATGCTGGGAACCACTGGTTTGAAATAACACAAAATTTAGAAAAGTAAATAACTACACTGAATACAGAAAAATACAGAAAAAGCTCTATTCTAAATTCATAATACTGAGATTTGTCCTGAATTTCTATTTTAGTGTTCATTCGATAAGATAAGCAGGGCTACAAAAAGGAATGTATGTATGCTGTTAGAAACAACTGAACTGAGACCACTGTTTCTGACAAGCTCCTAAAGTGCTCTGTGAATTGTCTGTATATTAAAAGGTCAGGGATGAGACTGTGAGAAACAAAGGGAGAGAGCTTGCTATGGGTCAGAATGCTACAAAAGCTAACACATGCTCTCCAGCTGTGGAACATTCAGCCAGGAAACTCTGTCTGAGTCTGTGCTCTGCTACCGATATGTGGCAAGAGAACTGTGCTCCTCTCAACAGTTCTTAAACCCAGTTCCTTTTGAGGGGGTGCACATGAATATGATCCCTATCTATGCTGCTTAGGTGTAAATTTGAGGGCAGGAGGTTTTGAGATGTGGGGTCAGATTTCCAGACAGAGATTAGTCCTGTTGTCGGATTAAAGAACTCAGCCGGCGGGGAAAAGGGCTGAAAATTGAACTCTAGGAATAGGCTTAACCTGTGCCCACCTGTAGAATCTAAACCGATTGTTAGCTTTCAGTTTTGGGTTGAGGTTACGCTAAAGCTTAGCAGGATTGGTTTAGGGTGAAGGAAAAGCGTATGCAAGTTAAACATCTACATATCATCAGCAGACCATCCAAATAAAGGGTTACCGAGAGTTCTACCTGCACTCCACCTGCTGTGGAGTTGCTGGGTTGCCGGTTCAAGGTGCTCTCCCATGTGTGACACACTGAGCGATACTCCTCTAATCACAGTGCAGCCTACAGACAGGAGGATGCCTTCGCTGCCCTCAGAATAGGGGGGACCGGTCATTAAAGAAAAGCATGCAGGCTTGCAGAATGCAGTGCAGCAGCCATTAATAGCCCTACTCTATCCCAGTGGGTTCGCCAGAGATAGTGTGGGATGGGAAGGTTCTGCGAAGGCATTCCATTTTTAATTGGTTCCTCATGACTTATTTATAACAATGTCATGGAGCCACAAATCAATATGACACTCCTACAAAAAAGGCCAACGCCATTTATCCTATCAGATCTGGCCCCATAGGAGGCGCAAATGAATGAGCTTGCGGCACAAAACTGACGGAAACTCATTTGTGGGGCAAACAGCCCTTTCAGTGGCAGAGGAGCGTTTCTAAAGATAACAAGCTGGGTCTATCTTTAGTGCCTTGTGGCCACTGGTGACACTGCTGATAGGCAGTCATGTATGTTTTCTATCTGCAGGACGACCACTGTTGGTGCTGCTGCAGCACCTCGTTTAGTTGCATCTTTGTGTGCACGAAAGAATGTGACCACGCATTCCCCCACTCCCGTTCGCTTACATAAACGTGCATAATGGCCCAAGGCTATAAATAGGCCCTTTTCAAAGGACCTGCGATTAAAAAAGGACCCCTTCATGTCTTGAGATCGGAGGGCATTAACGACGGCAGGGGGGCAGAGAGGGTGACTGGTTTGAATCCATACAAACACACAGGGTTGTTAGCTGGACATAATTACTCCATTCATCAAAATATGGGCCCCAGTAATTACTCCGTACTCAGCCGGGCCTGGGGAAGTGGTGTGGGGGGGGTTCTTTCAAAGTGTCCGCGCTCACTGAAACAAAAAGGGGTGAGTGGGTAGAAAGAGAGAAAAAAATGCAGAGAGATGAAGACAGAGAGAGAGACATGCATCCTTAGTTCTCCTAAACTAAGCAAAGGCATCATTAATGAGATTTTGACATTCCCTGAGTCAGGGCTGTTGTCTTTGTGGTGAGAGACAGTGGAGTGCCTTTATGTACAGCTGTTTGAGATGTTCTCCAGCACCCTGTGCGGCCTCTGGTCTCAAACCAGTCTATTCAAGCTGCCTGCTCATTCATGAAGAAGGGTGAGAGTGTTTCAGAGTGACCAGTAATAATAGATCGGCTTCGCAATGCTCCAGCCTGCATGTTCGCCCCGCACCTTTGAACCAGGGTTTGGGGAGATGGGACTGTCCATTGTAGAGAACTGCCTGACCCTGTGCAAGACAGGAGAGAGTTGGGATGATCAGGAATTGCAATTGTTCTCAGGTATTCCATGAGTTTACTTAGAGGACCATACCTGGCCATTTTGCAGGATCACTAGTTGATCTCAGAGGCATTATTCTCAAGCCAGAAATGGGTTAGACTCCTCAAAATGAAAGTATGTTAGATGTCACAGATTAAAAAGTATGACAAATTGGAACAGAAAAAGAAGTAGTAGTGCTACATTTACAAAATGCCAACAAAACTATAAATATCTGTGTAATAAATAAATAACTAATTATGCATTTTTGTAGTGAAACATTCAGTTGGTCAGTGTTCTTTAAGCACTGGCGACATCCACAATATGCTCAGAACAGACTATTTCTCATGAAAACAATAAATACTGTCCAACTGCCTGGCTCTAATCTTGTAATCTGGTGGATACACAGGTGACTAGCTGTTTGATAAAGACTGAGAAGTTATTTTTTGGTCTGAAAACAGTCTGAAAAATCTTGTTTAGACATACAGTGAGCGGTGCAGCATTGCGGCCGGATGGTGCGCTCATTCTCTACAAATAAACTGGGCACAGAAAGGCAGTTTGTAGTGATAAGCAGGCGCTGGCTACTGTCTGTTCGGTGGGAGTTGCAGGGGCATGTCCCTGAGTTTACGTGACGACAGGCACAGATGACCTCTGTCTGCCGCTGCTCCTGACACTGAAGGGTTACTAAAGAGTCTTCCTCAAAGCGGATGCATAGGGCACAGGTTAACGGGGGATACACACACAGACGGACACACACTGCAACTGCAAACTTAATGTTTGTGAGAACAAACAGAACAGCTCCGGTTAGATTAAGAAATAAAGTCCAACTTGCGGTCTTGAATGTCAAATCTTGTTCAAATAGGAACCAATGTCGATAAAACACAGAGCTGGCATTTCATCTGCAAATAGATAACGGTCCCTCTGCCATCACTTTAGCATGTGGTGTGTGTGTGTGTGTGTGTTTGTACCCATTGATAAAAGATTAGGCAATAACTTTATCTCTGCTCATGAGTGACTTGCAAGAATAGCAAAATACTGTTCTCTACGAGGGGTGTAAAAATGCACCGTGACATTGTGATACCACAGTGCCAGACTGTGACAATGTGCATCGTGGAGAATATAAACATTTTATTTATTATACCATCAAATGTAACTGCATTGTCTGAACACTAAAGTTTGCAAACCATCAGCACCCACTCTAGCACTGCTCCTGCCTACCAGCTCTAGTCCCAGAGGCAAGTTTTAATGCTTAAATACTAATTCTTGATGGATCAGGAGTAGGGGTGCCAACTTTGGCAAACTCTTTTGATCGATAGTTTATTAGTCTGTGATTAATTGTTAAGCAACAAACTTAAATCACGAATAGAACTGAGTTTTATCTGACCAAGGCTTTAGGCTTTATTGAATGAAAGAATGCTGCCTAATGTGACAGTCTACCAGTCATTTACTACATTATTAGCTACTACATTATTTACTACTAGCATTAGCCCAAGTTAAGGAACATATATGGCCTGACAAGGGCTAGCTTGAAGTTCATGTGTATAATTTATAAAGTTGGCTTTTAAACCTTTTTTTGTCATGGACTAACTACATAGGCTAACTGTTAGCTAGCAAACACATTTGCAGGCTATAGCTTACCTTGTGGCTACATATCCTAGTTGCAAAAGTGCCAGAAGCTACATTTAGTTTGCGTACACTTCAAAAATGTTTAATGAAAAACCCAACCATTCAAACAGCAACTGTTTATCAATAATTAAAAACGTTTTAACCAACGGCATTGGTCAACCATTTATGTATTTATGTAAAAGATGACTAGCTCCCTGATCAGAAGATTTAATGGTGATTCTTACTGCTGTATTTAGGGGAGGGCGATATGGCAGAAATACATCTCAATACTTAAAGATTAAGTGACCCTTATTATTCCCACAATTGGGAAATGTCACCTCCGCATTTAACCCATCCATGCAGTGAAACACCACATACACACTAGTGAATGCACACGCACACTAGGGGGCAGTAAGCACACTTGCCCAGAGCGAGCCCTATCCGCAGCACCCAGGGAGCAGTTCAGGGTTAGGTGCCTTGCTCAAGGGCACTTTAGTCATGTACTGTCGACTTCGGGGATCGAACCGGCAACCTTCCAGTCACAGAGCTGGTTCCTTAACCTCCAGCCCATGACTGCCCCAATCCATGATACATGGTACACAACAATGCACCAGTAGTGTTACTTTTTAAAACTGCCATCAATAACTCTGGGTATAGTGGTTACTATTCACATTTTTTACATACAAACATATTGCGCATCTCTACTTTTATTTGTGTATTGAGTTTGTCACAGATGTTTCTCCTAAAACTCCAGAAATAGCATTAGATGAAAAAGAGACATGAGCTCAGTAGAAATGATAATAGTTATAATAGTCACAGCAACAAAAAGACTCTTAGTACTGGTTGAGATTAGTTCAGCTGGAGATAAACATGGTTGTTATTATGCTGGCAAGTCTGAGCACAGTGTGTGACTTTATTGAAATCACGACCAAAAAAAAAAAACTCAAGAGGAGATATGGTGGGGTCTTTTGCTCAGCAGATCTTTTTTATATTTTGATTTCCCGTGGGGTGCCGTTAGTAAATACAACATGATTATAATCATCATTTTTCCACATTAGAATTTTATATGATGACAATATCAAACTGTGAACCCACGATCAAGAATCATATCTAATCATTACACCCCTACTCTCTAAAGTAGACAGTTAGCCACTGAGTTGCACTTCTGCATTTCTGGTGCAGACTGTCTGGTAGTTGCCACTCCACTGACCCTTCAGACGCTGCTGCTAACACTTCCTAAAGTAGAATCAAAAGGAGGTAGAAGTCTGCAGCTCCATCAGTCACAGAGAGTGTCATGGAAATTTAAAGCTGAGTGAAGTCAGTCCACCATCACTGTTGTGACACTCGATCTTTCACTAAGCTGTGTTTGACAGCATTATCCACTGTGGATGGAAGAAGTGGGCCACTCAGTCTTTGTTTAAACTTCAAAAACAATCCTTGATGTTTCATTTGAAGTGCCGTTGTGGAAGGCACAATGGACACTGCCCTTCAAAAGTCTGGGACTCCTAGCGTTTAAAATTTTCAAAAAGGTCTGCAATAACTTAATGTATTAAATATAAATCTTTTTATATCTTGACATTTGTTCTTTGCAGTTGAGAAAAGAAACGTGACAAATCATTACTTGGGCAAAACCTGCTCTTCATACCAAAGAAGGCACGTTGGAGAACATGAACCACAGTGTTGCAGGACTGTCGCCGAAGTGCACAAAATTTCAATTGAAGCCAAGATGTCTGCAAATGTTTGATGGCCAGTGTAGGTCAGTGAGCAAGCACAAAGTCTTGAATGCAATCGATGGCTTATCAGGCCAGATTTTCTGCAGGGAGTAGAGAAATCCGCTCGGACATTGTTCTAAGTGCCTGGACAACCTGTTGCAATTGAATAATGAATGAATGAGGCTTAGGAAATCCTCCTTCAGTTTCATAGAGCTCTTTTCTTCAGCGCTGTATCGGATGACAAGGTGAAAGAAAGTATCGCAGACTGCTGGTAAAAATCTCACCTGTGTTCCCATTATGAGGCATTTCACTGTCAGACCGACGTGTTAGGAAAGGGGTCTAAAAAAAAGGGCGGTTTTGTGAGTGGGCCGTGCTCACCGATATCAGATAACAGATCATGTATTTTATCCAGACATGTTGACTAAATAATTGAATTAGCAGCTATTCTTTGGGAGGTGGGGTCTGGCTGGCTGAGAGCGGCGCGAGAGAGCCAGTATCACAGATCAATAAATCATCAGTGGTAACTGAATCTGAGCGGGCTTAGAGCACACAGTCATGTGCGAGTTATTGGGAAGGCCCTTGTCATAACATGACAGGCTTTATGTACACAAATGGAGTGCCAGGATTTTAGCAGCAGGAAATGTTTTTATGGAGAAGGGCTAGGTGTTGACGAAGGACTGCAGATGGTGGAGAACGACTGTGAAAGCTCCTAACTCTGACTCTCACAGAGAGAGAGGGAGAGAGCGAGCGTTTGGTTTATGCTGGTTTACTAAGCCCCCTGGGGTCCTGATTCCATTCAGCTGTTTCTCATCCGTTTGGCCGCCCTCCAACACACACAACAAATACCACTTTGTTAGTACTATTTTACCATAAATCAATTGACTAAATCTCTAGTTTGGGAACAGATAATTGTTTTAAAGGGTGTCTATGGTAAGGTGTAGGTCCAGAGAATTTCATTGTGTGTTGACACAGACGTTCTCTCTTGCAACGGTACACGCTGGTTAGCCCTTAAATGCAGACCATAGGGTTGGTAGCGTCTCATGACCTCATTTACCCGCATCTACCACATGTACCAAGTTAAGCTAATATCAACTATATCAGTATACCAAAAAGCAACATTACTGCCTAGCTTCTGTAAATGTACCATGTAAACATATTGTTTACATGGTACATTTACCAGTAGCCGATGACCAGGGAATGCAGACAACTGGTCGTTATGATTTGATGATGTGACTATTTTCCAGCTTTATGAGGGGCCACCTGAACACACTGTGGTTCTGGTGGTGCTGGGTTGCTAACAACAAACAGTTAAAGAAACGATTAAAATGCAAGTCTCCAGGTGGCAAATTAATTATGAATCTCTCTCTTATGTCTTTTGCAGGAGATGCCCCTGACGTTGTGAAATTTGACATTTCCAAGGAAAATGGTGCGCTGTCCCTGGTGGAGCAGGCCAACGTATGGCTGTTTCTGAAGCTGGCCAAGGGCATTCGCGGCAAGGGCAAGGTGTCTTTGCAGCTTCTGCAGGCCAGACGCCCCGGTTCCGACCCGAGTCCGGATAACCAGGAGCAAGAACAGGTGGTGTCTGAGAAGACGGTGGACGCCCGCCGCAGTGGCTGGCACACTCTGCCCGTGGGACGCAGTGTCCAGGAGCTACTGGACAGGGGGGGCAACACTGAGCTCCGGCTAAGGGTGTCCTGCCCTCTGTGTGCTGGTGCCGGAGCCATTCCCATCATCTCCTCAGGGGACGGGAAAGAGAAAGAACAGTCGCACCGACCCTTCCTGATGGTGGCGCTCCGGCCAGCAGAGGACCACCCGCTCCACCGGCGCAACAAGCGCGGCCTGGAGTGTGACGGCAAGATCCGCACTTGCTGCAAGCGCCAGTTCTACGTCAACTTCAAGGACATCGGCTGGAGCGACTGGATCATTGCGCCTTCTGGTTATCACGCCAACTACTGCGAGGGCGAGTGCCCCAGCCATGTGTCCAGCATCACGGGCTCCGCCCTCTCTTTCCACTCCACCGTCATCAACCACTACCGCATGCGCGGCTACAGCCCTTTCACCAACATCAAGTCGTGCTGCGTGCCAACACGCCTTCGTGCCATGTCCATGCTCTACTACAACGAAGAGCAGAAGATCATCAAAAAGGACATTCAGAACATGATCGTAGAGGAGTGCGGCTGCTCATAAAAGTCGAGAGAAACCTCTAACAAACCTTCTTCTTGGTGGACTAGCAGTCTGTGTCAGCCCACGAACGTTTCTCGAAACTGTCGTTTGTCTTTTGACTCAGACGATTTATCTTGTGGTTATGTTTATGGACCCATCTATTTGGGACTCTTGGTTTGAGTGATCTCTCTGTGGCACTTTCATATAAATGTAAAAAAGAAGACTTAAAAACGTAATATATTTTTGTTATCTGAAGTGGGGGGGTGTGAGGGAATGGGTGCATGGTCAAGATAAAAATGTCATTCCATGTTCTCTGCGCTGCAATAAAGAGAAGCGTCTCGGAAGTATGAACCCGAGAAAAACGAACTATGCAACTTGTCAAGTGTTGTCATTGGATGTCATTCATTTTATTTTTATGATTTTCTTTTTATAAACCCATTCCCAACAAGAAAAGAGTTTTATTTCTTTTTTTGAGATACTTGAAAAAAAAAAGTTTGACCAGCTACTGGAGCCAAACTATTATTTTTATTATTATTATTTTGTTATTAATGTTATTATTATTATTAACTTACTATAAATTCTGAATGTTGATGAACAGTGATGAGAATTTGCACTAAACCAACATTCTTATCATATCAGCCACAAAAGAATAAGATGTACATTTGGATCATATATAGAGTATACCAAAGAACCTACATATTACTAGCTTTCAGAACTCTTCAGAATGCCCAGCTTGACTGTGGTAGTAGTCAAAATTAGCAACAATACATGGCCAACAAAATGTATCACTGTCACAAAATTCCAGTTTTCATTTTTCCTTTAACATTGCCTCAACTCACTCAATGTACAACGTTTTCTCTCAATCTGCCTGTTGTCCATGCGTTCACTGCCAGCTACCGCACAGTCTGGTGAAATGGAACTGGTGGAGATGTTCGTCCTGCAGCGAGACGAAATACAAACTTGTGTGGAAAAGTGACTGCGTTTGTTCTGACAAAAACAAACGACATTGAAGAAAGCTTTGGGACATTAAAAATGTTAACCTTGTATGTACAGATATCCAACATGAGGTGATAAGATGCATTGTTGTACAAATGGAAAATGTGCTTGTTATGTTTTATATCTAATTTATTTTGCAGCATACTCTTTGCTTCACTATTAAAGCTAAGTTCTAAAAATAATGCTACTCTGTTGACATGGATTTTATTCTGTTCTGTTCTCACACGACAAACCCAAAACACTTAGTTTTGTAGAGGAATAAACTTGACATGTTCAGTGATCCTTTAGGGTCATTTCTACAACTCCACCCACTCCATTCCTTCAGCAAATGAGTTTGACAATAAGTTGGACTTAGACAGAGTAGAGTGAACAAAAGTGATTTTTGCAACCCATCAGAGGGAGTAGCAACAGAGTAGGATGAGGTCTGATAATATACATTAAGGCAGTTGCTAGAGAAGTACAGTTTCAGGTGTTGGGTTGCTGTTGAAGATCACTTATTACATAATTATATATATTTAAGAGTCAGTGATTTGTGTAGGAGAATTTAGAGCAGAGGTGCTCAAAGTGTGGCCCACCAGAAAGTTACCCGAACCCCACCCCCTCACCCACACTCTTAGCAAAAAGGGTTCTATATAGTAACAAAACAGGGTTCTTTGGCTTGTATCAATAGTGGAACCCTTTAGAACCATCTATAACACATTCTCCATCAAGCTAAAGAACACTTTCACAATGCAAAAAACTCTTTCATCATGTAAAGAGTTCTTTAAATGTTCATATTTCCGTATAGAACCATTTTCTTTACAAAAAAAACCCTTGAAGGACCATCATGTTTAAGAGTGAAGTGAGAAAAAAAGTTACACTATATTACTTATTATTATATCACTGTAACTTTTATTTTAGTAACAAAGTATTATTTAGTAAGAAAATATAGTATAATGTCAGAAAACACATTTTAAAAATTCACTGACTTACCTACCTTCTTTATTTATATAATGTTTTGTCATTTTGGCCCTTTGACCCACCACAAACATTGCACTTTGGCCCCCCAAGTCAAACATTTTGGGCACCCCTGCTTTAGAGTTTGGGATCAGGTGAAGTGAGAACAAAATAACATTTTATAAAATGCCTGGGACAAAACGAGACATTAAAAAAAGGCATGGTCTGTTGTTGAATTGACTTTTTTTAAAAAATGGCACTAGGCATGTCCAGCTGGCCATTCCTCACCATAAAACTGATACCTTAATGTCAATGGCCAGACTAGGATAGCCCATTGAACTAAGCTTGGCAAAGTTTGTAGGGTTTTATCCTAAAGCTGGTTTGAAGCAATATTCCACCAATTTCTCCATAATTCAGTGCTTGTGATGCACAGTCATTCAGAGTGTTTTCATATGAAATGCTTATTTGTAGAGAAACTTAGCAGTTCAGATTTCTTTACGTGGTGGTGATAGGAACCAGGGGTTACAATGTCTACGACACAAGTGTAACCATTTTATTTACCATGCAAAAGCACCAGAGAACCCACACTGTGTCTTTTTAGTTTTTATATAATGTTGATACTGGTAAAATAGTGGTACATCTGAAAAAATAAAGTGTTCTATGGGAACTATTTTACCTTTCAATGTCCTGCACATACCTCTCCACCATGAATGGCTTTAAAAAAAAACAAAAAAGAAAAATGTGTAATGTGTTTTTGGCCTTTTTATGGGTTGATATCACAATGTAAAGGATCCTAATGGTTTAACAGGTGACCAGTGGCTGATTCTAAATGCAACTGATGGTTTCCTAATGGGATCTGTGTGTGTTCTACAGGAAACTAGTTGTCTCTATTGGAGACCATTAAGCTATCGTCACTGCTGGGAAAAAATCGTACTTGTTAAGTTTCTCTGGAACAGAGCATTTCACACCAAACCACTTTGAATGACTTTGTTTATGTCTCAACCTTTTAATTATGCAGAACTTTTGAAAAATTTGTGAAGTTCCCCTTTAAGGTGAATAACTGGTGAGAAACAATGTAATTAGTTCCCAGTGAACGTTCACATGCTGTTTTGAACACATTTTTTCAGTCGTTGCAATTCCCTCCCACTATACATGTTAAACTGAGGTAGTTCACCCTCTGGCTGTGTTTGACTGGCAAAACAGTCATGGCTGCAGCCAAAACCACGTAAATCACTGAGACCCAGCTTATAATTTGACAGAGCTGTAGGGATGTGACTAATGGTACAACTAAGACATCAACCAGGATGAAGATCTTTCTTAAAGATCAAAATTAAATGTGCATTAAATTAATTTTTTTTTTTTACTTCACAGGTAAAGTAAATGCACCACCTCTGGGTGAGTTAATGTGGTTAAACAAAATCCCTATAGGAAAGTCTGTCCATTTGATGGCCATCTTGGAAATGCCTCCGGGTAACTGCCACACCGCCTAGCAGCCAGCCTTGATGAGGCATTTTCACTGACTAACTTTGTTGAAACATGCACGTGCGAGGTGTGTAGCTAGCTCTTAGTAGGTAGGGCGAATGCACCCTATGTTAGCCTGCTAACCAGCATTCGTCCAATAGAAGTCGTCTCGGGTGCTGGTTTCTCATGCTACACAGCATTAGATAGGCTAGTGTTTCATGTGGTGCGTGCCCTTGCTTGCCATGCAAGCTGAGGGAGCTCTAGTGGCTCCTTGTGAGCTCTTTCTCCGCCAACTGAGCATGTTAAATCAGCATTAGCCGAGAGCGAACTGCAGGAAACAAAAGAAAAAAAGAACACATAGCATAGCCAACTTAAGTGCCCAGTGGTTTATCACTAAGGATGGGCATTTGTTATTCCAATGTTCAAATCTGTAAATGTAAAGTATTTGAATATAAACAAGAAAACGATTTCTTTTTAAATGATTTATCTAAAACGGCACACAAAGAGTTAAGCAAGCGACACAGAAAGTAGACTGGGAGAGTAGCCCCTTATTTTCTACTTCAGTGAGCTTTTAATGAATGGCAGTTAATACTGCACATCCTGTTTAAATGGTCACTTAAGTAGCCTTTTTACCCACCTAGCGGACAGCTAATGATGCTTTATTTTTGCTTTCTTGTAGAGCTGTAGGACTCAAATTTGACCTCAAACTCAAGATGTTCTTGACTTGTCTTAGACTTGTCTATTTCCCAGTTAAAATTATTTAATTATTTTTATTTAATTATTAAATTAATTATTATAAAACCACATGCTTGGTTTTCTTCTGGCCCAGTTGTGGCTGGGTCCTTGGCACAGGTCTGGCGCGACTTATTGTAAAATGAAAAAGAAAAAAGACGATGTGGCCCAGCTCTGGCCCATAAACTGTAAAATGAGAAGAACTAACGAATGTGGCACCTACACTGTAAAGTGAGTACAACTAATAGATGTGGCCCAGCTCTGGCCCATTTATTGTAAAGTGTGTACGGTTAACAGCTGTGGTCCAGATCTGGCTCACACACTGTGAAGTGAGCATATTTAAAAGGTGTGGACCAGATCTGGCTCATATACAGCACATGGTGTACCCACCTTGGTCCCCGGCCCAGGTGTGGCCCTGGGGATGCTCCATTAATTTACTGTAGAACATGCAAACATGTCAAAAGCCATTTCAGAGTGAAAACTCCATTTTAATTTTGGTTAAATAAATAAAGTAATGCCTTGAGTCCAACAGTACTATGTTTTCCACATTCACAAATACATTTTTCACAATATTTCTGCACTAATTCTAAATCAAAGTGGACAAAAAATTCTTGAATGAAGAGGTAACTAAAATATAGACTAAAACTGACATCTTCCTTGAAGCACTGTGGGTTTGGATTGTAACTTTTAAACCACTTAAACCACAGATGATAAAAAATGTCTGAAAAATTATACTTAAGCAATCTGTGAGGTCTGTGAGGACCTCGACCCCATCGAACACCTTTAGGGCAAACTAGAATGGAGAATCCGAGCCAGACCCTCTTGTCCAACATCCGTGCCTGACCTCACAAATGCTCTTCTGGATGAATGGACAAAAATTCCCACAGACAAAATCTTGTAAAAAGCTTCCCAGAAGAGTGGAAGCTGTTACAGCTGCAGAGGGGGACCAACTCCATATTAATACCTGTGGATTTAGAATGGGATTCCTAAAAGCTCCTGCAGGTGTAAAGTGTAGGTGTTCCAAAATTTTTGTCCATATAGTGTATGTAGGTAATTAAACTTGATAACTACATTTTCTGATTCTATATGCAATAATAAGAATGATTACTAAAGGATTTTTTTACAGTAAACAAATACAAAACTGGATAAACTGCTGCTGTCGCACCTTCTCCTAGAGGTGGGTTTCCAAACTCACCCATGGTGGTAGTTACCTATTTAGTTTATACGTAGACTTTTAACTAGTT